TTAAGCTAGAAGAACAAGTCAAAGAAACAATGATTGCTTGGGGGGGAAATTTTGGACATGGGATTGATTTAGAGAAATGGCAAAAATTGTGGTCTCAAAATTATAAAATGACAATGTCAACAGCATATAAAGAAAATTTGTATAAGATGTTTTACAGGTGGCACCTACCCCCAGCAAGAATAGCAAGAATGTTCAAGAACAAATTTGAAAAATGTTGGAAATATCATCAGATACCTGGTTCATATTACCATATATGGTGGACGTGCGCGGATGCCAAAAGATATTGAACTAAAATCCACACAAGGTTGAAAAATGTCAAAAAAAAACATATAGACGTGAAACCGGAAATATTTTTATTGGGAATTTCACCTGAAATATGCAGTAGGGAATTGAAATATTTGATTGTAAATGTATTAATAGCAGCTAGGATTGTATTTGCTAAAAACTGGAAAAATGAGAAAATACCAACACAGGAGGAAGTTATTAAGAAAATAATGGAATGTGCTGAAATGAGTATATTGACATTTGAAATTAGAGAACAAGAAGATAAACAATTTTATAAGATCTGGGATTTATTTTATCAATGGTTAGACAATAAAATATGAAATATGAATGAAATAATGAAATATGTAGATTTTTAGAGTATAAAGAATATATAAAGATGTATTATCTTTATCATAATCATAAATATGGAATAGATTTGGGATGATAATATGAATTGTCATAAAATAAATCAATTAAAATATGGATTATCTTGCATAACATGAATGAATAATAATATAGTCAAATGATTGAGTAATGATGATATCAATGTATTTAGGAATATTTGATAGATAATATGAGAACATATACAAGTAATTTTAAGTAATGACTATGAAGTGGATGCAGAAAACAATTTGTAAACCAACTGACACACTGTATGTACATAAGTGGAAGATGGCTTGATGTTTTTATGTTGTGTTTGTCTATGTTTGTCTAAAAAAATAATAAATCTTTTTCAAAAAAAATCAGTTCAACAGTAAATATATATCCGCTGCGGTCTATAATTAGATGACTTTAGTCTTCATTAAAACAATTGTTTTGTTTTTTTAATGATGGCCATTCAATTCACACAGGAAAAGGAAGAAAAGTACACACACTCCCACACACACACTCTTTACCATTGCCTTTTTTTTTCAACACAAAATATGCTTTCTGTTCGGAATATTATTATTATTATTTTTGCATTTTGTGGTTATTCTCATTTTATTATATTCTAGCTTTTAACTAAAAAAGAACCACAAAAGAAAATCTCAAGCCTTCTTGGGTATGCTTAAGAAGGTTTGAGGCAGAAATAGGAAGTGTTCTGTCCTTTAGAACAGGAAGTTATCTGTGTATGTACAGAGAACCAGGATATAAGCAAATAAACATGACTTTAGAATATTAAGTCATGTTTATTCAAATAAAAAAAGATAAAAAGCATATATGGTGTAATAAATTTTTAAAGGTAAAACTTTTTCTTGAAGTACAATATCCTAATGGTAGCATGAATCTACTAATGCTACTAATAGAAATATCTGTTTCTTTTATTTTATTTTTACAAAAATACCTAAATTATTTGACAACTGTAAAAGTCAAATTTAATTATTAAAACAGGGTACATATGACTGTTTCCATTCAGGAATACTCCTGCTCAGTAGTGGGATTCAAACTTTTTTACTACTGGTTCTGTGGGCATGGCTTGGTGGATTTGGCAGGGGAAGGATACTGCAAAATCTCCATTCCCTCCCCACTCCTAGGGGAAGGTTACTGCAAAATCCCATTCCTTCCCCACCCCACTAACCTGCTTTCCAGCTCTATTCAGCTGTGCAGGGCAACAAAGGGAGACCCAGAGGATCAACTGGAACTCAGGAGGAAGAGAATAGATGGGGGCCGGGGCCAGTTAGAGGTGGTATTTGCTGGTTCTCGGAACTACTCAAAATTTCTGCTACCAGTTCTCCAGAACTGGTCAGAATCTGCTGAATACCACCTCTACATCTGAAGGGTCTCATAAGTCAAGTAATTCTACTTCTTTATTTATCAGTGTTACTTTATTGATCTATTCTGATTGGTCATGCATTTCCCAAACAGCAATGGAATGAAACAGCTCGTAGCTCTTCCAGTTAGATGGAAAACAAAGTTGTTTCTCCTCCTTCTCTTGTTCCATTCTCTTCTCTCTCTTCTGTTACTCCAGAAATTGCCATTACATTGTAAATATGTAGGTAAGAAAAAAAAAAAGGTTAAATTTAAGAGGAAAAATTATTTAATTGTATGATTGTAATTGTAAGTTAAAATTATACCAAACTTCTTGGTCTTGACTCTGCCCATGTTTTTTGCATGCAATCCCTAGAGTGACATCCAACAGTTAAAGATGATGCAGCTGTGGTACACCCACATTAATGGTTTATACATAATTAGTCCTTTTGTGGAGACACTTAAACAGGAAAAACCATATTTTATACATAAATAAAGGGTGAAATACTAATTTTGAATGCGTGGGAGGATATGTAGCTCCATCTGGAAAGCCATTTTCTTGTTTAATGATTTTTACAGCGTGTCTATAAAAGATGTTAATTATAAAAAAATATTATTTTGGAAAGAAGATAATCTAGGCAGAAAAGGTTTTGCTAAAACTTGTACATGGTGAATTATCCAACACGTTTTCAAAATATTCTGATAGCGGTTTTTCAGAAATGTGGTTTTAGTTTAACATTATTGACTTACAAATTTAATTCATGTTATTAAGGTCAAGTAATGTAAAAATTATAAAATGTTGAAAGGGACAGATTGATTTGCATTTATCTGTGCCATTGATTTCTGCTTTTTCCTTCTATCTTAGAGCCTAAAAGTTCTCAGCTATAATAGATTTATACAACAATCTGTTTAAGATCATTGTTAAGTGATAGAATAGAATAGAATAGAATAGAATAGAATAGAATAGAATAGAATAGAATAGAATAGAATAGAATAGAATAGAATAGCTTATTGGTCAAGTGTGATTGGACACACAAGGAATTTGTCTTGGTGCAAATGCTCTCAGTGTACATAAAAGAAAAGATACATTCGTTACAAGTCAAGAATCATAAGGTACAACACTATTGGGTACAATAGAAAACTTAACAAGTACTGGTGTGGGTATTGCTAATTAGTCCTGCAAATTGTAGAATATATTTTAAGAAAATGTTTTATAACAGTTTCTGAATTAAGTTGTTTCTAGATAATCAACATCTGTTGCTACCAATCAAAAGCATTGAAATGCATCGTAAGAAGGATTTTTAGATTAGAAAAAAATAATAAATGGAAATCACCAAATGATTACAGTGGAATAGTTCCATCTTCTTCTGAAATCTATTTTTGAGGGAGAACGGCTGTACAGTAAAAGTTTTGTACAGACATTATCCAAAACTATATTTGTTATTATTCATAAGGCTGACTTCCAATGCCAATCCTGTGTAATCCACTTAAAAATACATTTAAAGATTTTAGTGAATACATTTGTATTTACTACAGGAAAGAGACTAGCATATTACTAATGTAGAACAAAACCAAAAGTGACATCTTTGAAATTATTCAAAGGTTTTTCCAAGTTTTGCTTCTGGGCATAATTGTGGTTAGGTAGTCATGCATTATACAGCTTTTTCACAATGCCTCCACCTCACCTATCTGCTTAGACATGGATCTCTTCTTGGAAAGGTCTACTTTCCCTCACCTGTCACTCTCCCAACACTCAGCAAAGGCTTCTTTTTAAAAAAGATCCCTAAGATTTTTAATCTATGCGGAATTCGAATACTGTATCAGCTTTATACATTTTAATTCCTTTCTAAAAGATTATATGTATCGTATTTTTACCTGCATCATTTAATTGATTTTCTTATTGTAATTTAGTAGTTATACGTTGTCCTTGTTTTTGTCTTATGAACTACACAGAGAGTATCTGTTACAAATTAATGATAGTGGATATGCATACATATTAATCAATATGGTTAGAAGTAGAACTAGGCAAGAGTGGGATTCTACCGGTTCTGTCCACCTCTGTAGAATTGGTAGTTCTGAAGAGCAGCAGACAGAGAGCATACATAGAACCGGTTCTATGTCTGCTGCTGTTTTGGCCCACCTGCCAGCCTGGGCTCTTACCTGAACTTTATTTCCTGCTTTTTCAACTGCAGCTGCTTTGCACAACACAGCTGTGGTTGAAAAAGCAAGAAAAAAGGGCTTTTCCAACCGCTGCGCACTTGCACGCAGCACTGCTCAGCTGTCCAGGTAGCTCAGCAGGTCGTAAATTGGACTCATGCAACTTGTGCATGGGTGTGTGATGCAAAGCAACAGAACCGGTAGTTATACCGGCTGGATCCCCTCCCTGGAACTAGGGTTAGAAGATCAAACTTCAGGGAAAAACAAAGGAAACAGAAATCACTAACCAAAGAATTAGGGAGTCACAGAGACAATGCTCTGGAACAGGGGTCACCAACCTTTCGGACCTCAGGGACCACTAAATTCATAATTTTAAATTCCATGGACCACTAATATGAATATTTTAAAAAAGATAAATAGTATTTAGTGCAATTTAAAAATCAAATAATTTTTCTGTGGACCACCAAAATTTCTTCACAAACCACCAGTGTCCATGGACCACCAGTTGGTGACCTCTACTCTTGAATACAGCTCAAATTACCCATAAGAAAACATTCCCCCTTTCCTTAAGATCCTAATGTGCTGAATTGTTATTATACCATCAGCCTGACATAGGAATTATTGTGGGAGAGAGGATGTCAGCTATAATGCTGAAAATAGGGCTTTATTTATCTATAAACTATCAAGCAAGATCCCTTCCAAGTCTGTTATTCTATTATTCGATTAATTCTCTGGAAAAAGTTATAACACTAAGAGATAAGCAAACAGGAATGAAGAACATGCTATTCACCTTGATTTGCTAAGCACACAATTCATCTTCTTAAAATCTTCTTTTCTATTTAAAGACCCACAGTTGGAAATTCATCCAAGGGTCACCTTGAACAGTTATATGGTTATAAAACAGATAGCTTTATCCTTCATCAACAGTTTAGGAAAGCAAGTTATATTCTCCCCACCTCATCTTGCTCCTTACCTGCAAATGCCTTTCATTTTGTCATTGATCTGCCACAATGATAGGTGGATTTCTTGTATTGGCCGTTTGGTTAGAGTGCAGTTCCTGTATATACCTGCTGAGTAGTTGGGCAGTGACAAAGTAGGTGGCATAATGCCAAAGACACACAATGAGATACATAAAACTGAATGGCACATGTAGATTATTGGAACTCATATCAAGATGAATGAAACACAATGTAGTAACTAGAAACAAATGCACAATTTAGAAACATGGAATACAAAAAAAATAAATGATTTATACAAGATTATGGAAGGCTCAAAAGCCTTTCTTTAGTCTTGAGAATACAAAAAGCTGTTTATTCAGAATTCATTTTTCTAAATAATACCTGGATATTTGAAAATCAATATTCTACTTTCTTTAGATCATATAGATCTTCTGCTTTATATGTACAAAATACAAAGATTTCCATGGCATGGAATGTTTATATTCTATTTTTTTAATTAATTTTGATCTCCGCCTTGTAGAATGCTTTTCCCCTTGAGATCCAGAAGGCCTCCATCCTCTTAATCTTCCAAAAAGCAGTTAAGAGGTGACTTTTCCCTTGGTTGGGTGATAGCTCTGTTGAAACCAAGTGATTGTATACTTGGATGGATATAGTTGATGGTTTTTCTTGTTCATTGTATGTTTTTATTGTTGTCTTTCAACAATCTATTTCTGATGTTTATTTTTCTTTGTTGTTTCACAGCTATAGTAGTCTATTGTTTATTTTTCAGATCTGTATCTCCATCTTTCCATAAATAGATGGCATTTCAGATGATTAACAAATGAACTAAATTTATCTATTTGTCTGTCTGTTTCCCTGCTTGCTTGCTTGTCTGTCTGTCTGTCTATCTATCTATCTATCTATCTATCTATCTATCTATCTATCTATCTA